GGTTTTCAAGAGCTTCACGAACCGTTCTGGGATTCTTTCTCGGTTAAAGTGCGCCAACGTTTCGAGAAGAAGGGTGTCACCCAATGTCGTCAGGCTTCCACCACCAAATAGAGGTAATGTTGTGCTGACCGAAGGGTCCGAAAGGGGTTGTCCTTGATGAATTTGTGAGAAATGTTCAATCCGCGAGTATACAGGGTGAAGAGGTACCTTCGGCAAGTGTAAACACTGGCTTAGACATGACTGTGAATATTGGTTTGTAGCTTGTGAGCCGCAGCGGATTAATCTGAAGCCTGAGGAAACGCAGGAGGGCAGATGAGTGATAATTGATGCCAAGGTTTTTGACCAAGATTCGAAGTATCAGCAAATGTTGTATGTATTATAGGCGGATCTTATGCTATTCTTATAGCCATGGCCCAGATCACCTTTCATATACATGGCGCTTTAAAAAAAAAAAAAAAAAAAAATTCTCTCCGCACCATCTTCATCGGTTTGCAAGAAAACTATGTATTCGGCTCCACAGATCAGTTGAAATTTGGACTTGAACTCGCCGAAACCAGCCCGGGACAGGTTTGAAGTCTTGTAATGGCGCAGTTGTAGGAAATCTCGCTGCGTCCATGTTGTTTTCAAGATGCCGAGTCCTGGCCGTCCATGACGAATTGGCCAATAGGAATGTTCCCGATCCTTCCGCCCTTGCTTGTGAAGACGCCGAGAGTAGTCCGCGCTCCCATTCTCACCAACCATAGAAGAAGGCAGGTTCCACTTTTCAACCCGAGACGCCGAAGTGCTGCTACGGTGCATCTCCTGTCCACTCCGAATGCCTTCATTGGAGGTCAATGTTTATACTATGACTCGAGTTGGCATTTGATGCAGGCCAACAAGCTCCGAGGCTGCCAAGCACTGAATCGTTGTGACAGCATCATGCCCACTTCGAGATGGAGAGGCCCGGATGGCCCGACCCTGTCGCCAGACTTCGGCATTCCGCAGAAAGTTCCGATATCTCATCATTATTGGGGAGAAGAAATATAAATATATCATCATGGGGCGCTGGTCTCCTTTGAAATGCTCAGCAACTACATACTCGCAACTTCATCATTGGCCCAACAATTTGAACATCAATCAACATAACCCACCATATTTCAGATTCGTATAGACTTGAAACGACACGCTATGGCAACAGTTTCCAACGGCAACGAATACGATTTCATCGTCGTCGGCGGCGGCACTGCTGGTAATGCGGTAGCCGGCCGTCTCGCCGAGAACCCCAAGATCCGCGTCCTCGTAATAGAAGCCGGCGCTCCCAACCCCGACCAACATGAAGCCATCACCACTCCCTCACAAGCCTTTGGACTCCGAGGGAGCAAACATGACTGGGCTTACAAGTCAACCATGATCAAACGGGATGATTATGAGCGAATCGAAAAGCCCAACACCCGTGGCAAGGTCCTTGGTGGAAGCTCCTGCGCCAACTATTTCACGTGGATTCCCGGATCTCGCGCAACCTTCGACGACTGGCAGGAGTTTGGTGGCCAGGAGTGGAATTGGGATAACTGTGTAGATTACCTGCGCAAGTGTGCCACGTACCACGATGACGAGAAGCTATATCCAGCCGAGCTGAAGAAGATTGGCACGGGCGGCCCCATCAACATTGCCCATGCCGATCTGGTTCCTGAGATGCAGCCTTTCCGTGATGCCCTCACAGCAGCCTGGGTCTCAAAGGGGGAGCGTCTTACCGAAGACATTTATGAGGGTGAGATGAGGGGCCTAACTCACTGCTGTGACACCATTTACGACGGTCAGCGCCAAGGAAGTTTCCTGTATCTCAAGAACAAGCCCAACGTCACCATTGTCTATGGGGTTCGCTCCAAGGAGCTCGTCATCGACCCGTCAACAAACGCCTGTGTCGGAGTGACCATCGTCAGCGAAGCCGCAGCCACTGAGCTAAGTGTCTACGCCAGCCGGGAAGTAATTCTATCCCAGGGAGTGTTTGAGACCCCCAAGCTTCTCATGCTTAGTGGAGTTGGTCCATCGGCAGAGCTATCTCGCCACGGCATCACCACCAAGGTCAACTCCCCTCACGTGGGCCAGCACCTTCTTGACCACCCCATCGTTCCGTTTGTCCTCAGGGTCAAGGACGGCTATGGTCTCGATGATTATATTCTCCGCAAGGGGCCTCTCAATGACCAGGCCGTGGCTTCTTACAAGCGTGACAAGACCGGCCCCATCGGCTCCGGGCTCCTGGAACTCGTTGGCTTCCCTCGTATTGATGAACGACTAAATAAATATGAAAGCTACCGCGAGGCAAAGGCTGCCAACGGAGGCCTTGATCCCTTTGGGCCTGCCGGGCAGCCTCACTTCGAGCTTGACTTTGTTGACATGTTTAGCACCGCCTTTCAGTGGCATTACCCGGTTCCAGAAGAGGGCAGCTACATGACTGTCATTGTTGACCTTTTGCGCCCGCTTTCCGAGGGTGAGGTCACCTTAAACAGCTCAAGCGCCCTTGTCCAGCCAAATATCAATCTCAACTTCTTCGCCAATGACCTGGATATCCTGGCTATGCGCGAGGGTGTGCGCTGGACTTATGATCTCTTGACCACAGGAGAAGGGTTCAAGGATATTGTTGTCTCGGAGTATCCATGGAAGATGCCTCTGCATTCCGATGAGGAGATGAAGAGAGCCGTCTTGGACAGGAGTCAGACTGGGTTCCGTAAGTGTGCTCCTAGTGAAAATATTGATAAACCAGCCGCTAACGAGGTTTTTTGCATTAGATCCTTGCGGAACTGCCCGTCTGTCAAAGAGCATCCACCAGGGTGTAGTCGACTCCAAGCTCCGCGTACATGGCGTCAAGAACCTGCGCATCGCGGATGCTTCCGTAATTCCCGTTATCCCTGATTACCGCATCCAGAATTCGGTCTACATGATCGGCGAGAGGGTATGTTCATAACGTCCAATTCCCTATATACACTACGAGGTAGTGGCCGAGGCTAATACACATTGCAGGCTGCCGATATGATCAAGGCCGCACACAAAGATTTGTACGAGGCACAGAACATCCCGTACTTTGTTCAAAGCAGACTTTAGGGATAGACTTTGTCCTTTGACATTAGAGAACCCGACTAATTAGAGAGCTTGTTATTTAGAAATTTATCACTGGAATTATAGAATGTTCACAGAACTACTCTTTCTGGCTGCTTTGGCGTAAACAAGAATTGCTAATTGTTATGCTTTGGAGTAGAAAGGTATAGCTGCTAAAAGAGAGTTCCTTCGTAGAGTCAGTTACCTAACATCGTCATGTTCAATCCGGAAGACCCGGCTTATTATCGCAAGTAATTTCCGGTGTCGTATTAATGCGTAGTTGAGTTTTTGAATACACAAAGACACGTTGCGTTTTTCAGGAGCGGTTACCGCACGTTATCACTAAATGGACACGCACTGTCGACTGGACATGCAATTGTCCTGCAGTCTGTATACTTGAATTGATGGTACAGAATGCGCCATTCTTACTGTTCTCGTCTGGATTGATAGACCAAAGCGTTGTACTGAAAAGAGCCTCGCCGATGGCTTTACCCCAAGTCCCCGGTTCCCTCCTCACCGTAGAGCCATGAACAGCGTAATGGTGTGCTTATAATGCACCGTCAATTGCTCAAGTAAAAAGATCCGTGCCTTGATTTCTCCCCATTCGCGCTCTTCAGGCAAGTCAAATATCGCATGAGGGGCTGTGTTGAGATTGGCAACCTAGAGACTGCCGCGGAGAAAAAGACGTCCCCTTTGTAGGGTGCTATTATTAGTTATCGGTAGTCTCAAAGATCTCACTGAGAAGATCGGGGCTATGCTCGAAATGAGAGATAACATGTGCGTAGTCTTGACGTTGTTAAGTTTGGCAAATCCATTGTGATTCTTCGTCGTGATACGTAGTAAGCACCGCCATCGGCAAAAAGGTCTATTAGTTCTTTAGGATTTATACACCGAAGCAATATAGCTCTTTAAGCGTTATTACAGATTCAAGGTGATAGGCATTGAATCCGGAGCGGTCTGCTAGTAGTAACCTCTTTGCGCGGGTTTAGTGCTGCTAGAGTAAGCTTTCGTAAGGCGTTGAGTTGGCCCAAGACAGCATCGAGTAACTATAACCACCAGTTGGTAGAGTGAGGAACTCGGCTCTGTCGCCATATCGGATACAATTGCCGCCAGTGAGCCTGCGGTGTTGTTCTATTGTTGAAGGCATTGTACGAACTTGCAAGGCACTGTAATCCATTCATGCCACAAGGCGGTGTGATTATTCTTCCTCTCACGGTAGCGTTCGGGAAGGCCCACTAAAAGATCAAGCCTCAACGAATCAATGGACTGGGTAGGAGCGGGACAGGAACGGGTGCGGATAAAGAAGGTTGGTATGGACTGATTGACAGGGAAGGAAGGAACCACCGCGCCATGGACGTCAATAACAGTCCGTCATGGAAGCGCGTCAACTTTGATTTGGCTTCAATCAACGCATTTGCTATGCTCTGCCGGAGCATTTGCATTTGGGTGGCTTATTCATTTTATGTGGTTGAACATATTTTATCTGTTTAGATTTCTTCTTCTTCTTTTTGGATACCTATCTTCATAGTAGCTTAGACAGCTACTCATCTAGCGCGTTTCCGATAGACTTGGTATACAGCTTGAAGCTCCAACACCTGGCGCGCTTGATTCACTTCGCTTCACTTCTTAATCACTGCAGTTTCAGGTCCAATTCTCTCCCTACTTCTCAGTTGGTACCTCCAATTCCCGGTTTCGACTTCTTTCCGACGCGTCTATCGTTCCCACAAAACGCACGATGCCCGCCCGAGCCAGTGTCCGTAACGAGGTATCTTGCGCTCCGGTTTAGGTTGGCGCATTATACGCAGACATTCTGCCCAGGCAAGAGGCGACTTTGACACGCGTTCCAGTGTCTCTAGGCAGCTAGCTGTTTGCACATTTGTTGTGCTTCAAGGAGAAACGCTGTGGAGAAGTGACTCAACTTCGTAAAAATGCCAACGCAGCACGTGAAACCGGGAACTGAGGAGCACCTAGGAGACGTTGCGAATGCTTTGTTGAAAGCGCGGAAAGTGGTAGTAGTGACTGGTGCTGGTATCAGTACCAACTCTGGTATTCCTGTACGGAGACTTCCTCTACCGTCTCGGTCGCGTTTCTTAACTTCTCGGGCTGTTGTAGCTGACTGGCGCAGGACTTTCGATCGGAGAATGGGTTATACTCGCTTATCCAGGCACAATTTGATGCGGCTTCTCGGCAGGCACGACAAGACGAACACGCTGACGATGATGAAAACGAAGAAGCCGCAGATGATGCACGTTCCACGAAAAGAAGGAAAACATCTATGGATGCAATACACGAGCCTGACTGGATAACTGTCAAAGTTGGACCGGATGACTGTCAAGACGCGCTTCAGGATGGGGCATCTTTGCCTCAATATACAGATCGCCCGGAATTGATGGAGGACAGTGCTGTCACTGCTACAGCTGCTACACAAATTGTGGTTGAGACAAAGTTCAGAACACCGCAATCAAAAGCAGCCACTCACTCTTCGCTGGATTCGAATAGCTCGCCTCTATCATCTCCCCCAGCTGAATTCATGATTTCGCCATCCACGGTTCGATCACATACTCATAGGCGTCTGACAGATGCAGCTCTTCCCTTGAGCTCATCACCGCTTTCGTCGCCTCCCCCTATTCTCTTTGACCCATTTGACGCAGGTTCGCCGTCAGAGGCGAGCTTCGGGCGACGGAGTAGTACATCACTCTCTGAAGTTGATGAAACAGACTCTCCACCAAATTCATTTGCTTCATCTCAGAATTCCGCGGGGAGCAGGAGCACACTACCAAACATGAAGGGCAAGGATCTTTTTGACGCCAATATCTGGTCGGACCCGATAAGAACTTCCGTCTTCTATACATTTGCAACATCTTTACGGCAAAAGATCAGACACGCCGAACCAACAACATCGCATCGATTTATCAGCCACTTGCGTGATCGAGGAAAGTTAGTTAGGTGTTACACCCAAAACATTGATCAAATAGAAGAGAAAGTCGGACTATCGACACGATTACAAGATGGCCCAGGCAGTCGTGGGCGATTTTCACGACGATCAACAGCAAACATGACCCAACTGAATAAAATGGTCGAAGAAGCCAAGTCAGTATCCTGCGATAGACCAGTATCTGAGAATTCAAGCCTGTCAGATGCTCCTGCAGATTCAAGCGAGCAGTCACAGCCCTCGTCCTCAGATGAGAACAACATCCCAGCTACTGATAGGGAACCACAATCAGCTAATCAGGCTAAAGCAATTCCGAAAGTTCGAAGGGAATTGCCTCGCTCCGGTGTTGAATGTGTATTTCTGCACGGATCCTTGGACCTTCTTAGATGTTTTCTTTGTGGCAAAGTTTGCTCTTGGGACGATGACAATCGCGAGTCTGAAACACTTTCAGGCCAGCAACCAGAGTGCCCTCACTGCGTTGGAGCCACGGCGGCGCGACAGGAAAAGGGCAAGCGTGCCTTGGGCGTTGGCAAACTACGTCCTGATATCGTGCTCTATGGCGAAGAACATCCTAGCTCACACCTAATTAGCCCAATCATAACCCATGACTTGAGCTTGTATCCAGACATGCTGCTCATTTTAGGCACAAGCCTCAGAGTCCATGGCCTGAAGGTCATGGTCAGGGAGTTTGCAAAAGCAGTCCACTGCAAAGGCGGCAAAGTTGTCTTTGTAAACTTTACTAAGCCTCCTGATAGCATCTGGGGAGATATTATCGACTACTGGGTACAGTGGGATTGTGATGCCTGGGTCACTGATTTGCAGGCCAGAATACCGAAACTTTGGCAGAAGCTAGAACCTGCAAGGCCCAGAAGGAAGCGAGAATCCAGCGGAACATCTGAGGACAGCGCGAAGGAAGGAAAAAAGAAGCCACCGCCTGCTAATCCAGTGGCTTTACGCGACACCAAAGTCACCGGCGCCTACTGGACATCCAAGGTTCTTCGTGAGCTGCACCGAATAACAGGCAACTTACAGCTGGAGAATGTGCCAGCCCGTCGAGCCTCTCTATCCACAACTATCACAGCAGCGGGTAATGTAGCTGGGGTATATCCCCATGCTCCGATAGACAAGGTGCAGAAAGAAACCAAAGCTAGGCAGAAAGGGTCGCGAAAATCAGCTCCGGGGGCACTGGAGAAGGGTCAGGGACGATCATCGACACTCAATCCCAACCACGGTAGATCACGCAAGAAGGCGCAGGCATTGGTGTCAAACCAGGCAGCTGACCATCTGCCCGAATCTACAACATCTCCGGCACACACTTCTGTCGAGCCATGCAGTACTAATTCCATTTTGAGTTCAGTTAAGGAAAATGCTAGAGTCAGGAAGAGAAAGAAGGCGGATGGAGAAGAAATTCCTGCGCCCAAGGTTGGCAGAAGGCGAGGTGGCAGTTCAACGCACAAGGTCAAGAAAGATGACCTGAAGCTGCCCCCTTTACAGACACTGGTAGCGAATCGGCCAGTTTTACTCTACGGCAAACCACAACCAATGGAACCAAAGAGCCCGCCCTACGGACCCTTGCCGTCGCTGTCGCCAAATTTGCGGAGTGCAAAGACATTCCAAAGACACAAGGCCTTCTTCTTAGACGAGTTTGTGGGGTTGCATAAGGCACCGCATGGCCATCCATTCCAAAACTACAGCGAAAATGTGCCTCCGGCTCAGGCGGGAACAAAAGAAGAAACGAATGCAGCTCTCGCATTGGCTGGTTTAAGGACCAGTCCAGTTATGGCGAGAACGATGCCACGAAAACAAATAGAATTGAGTTTAGACGGTCGATTGGAGAATTGGGGGTCTACTTGGAGCTGCAATCAATGATGGGTACAGTGGGAGTTATCGACGATTATTCATAGCGACATACTCTCCTCCAGCTATGCACGATTAGGAGGCAGGTTTTGATCAAGTTGGATTGGCGGGTTGTTTTGTACATGTCTGGCTTGCTGTAAGCCAATTGGCGTTGGGAGAAAGGCATCGGAGCCTATTCAAAGGTGCATTCCTGCTGTTGGATATGAGTGGTCCAGCATTAGATATTGGTATTTCCCAATGAAGAAGCAAATGAATTGATGGCACAAGACAATCGGTACAAGAGCCAGTAGGGGCTTGACAGGCCGGAGTACGGCGAGAGCCCTACTCTTCTGTCTAAAACAAGTCGGCCGTCTGAACCGATAACGGCTTCCTCACGAGTTGATTGCGTTCTCTACATGAAAGCTGGCGGCTACCTTCGGCACTGGAGGAGCCCTCAGCACCACGCGCCGGAACAAGGAAAACCGACAAAAACGGTGCTCCTGGACGGAAAGGGCACGGTTGACGCTCATAAAAACTTGGAGGCGCAACGGATGTGGGGTTTGCACTGGAGTAATACATGCGGATGTGCGGCTAGCTTCAGATGGTCTTTGGATAGTAACGAGTTTCGCCGCCGAAGGTGGAGAGGGGCTTTAACCGAGTCACTCTCTTGCGCAGGCCAGCCTTGCTTTGTTGTGGTTGACGTTTCTGGGTCACCGCTCATATATATCGTCGTGTGCTCGCTGTGTTCATCTTCAAGGCTCTGCATACTTCTGATCAGAAGCCTTTGTTTCCCGGCCAGACCATTGTCGTCATGGGCCATCAAGAGGTTCTTGCTTTGAGGGGCAAGTCAGCCGAGAGCCCGAGGCCGTTTGGATCAGAGTGGAAGAGGGAGTTCCTCTTTGATCCAGAGTGGCACAACTTGAACCACGGTATGTGATTCGTATCTGACATTTTATGTCTGGAACTCGTGTGCTCCAGCCACTGGCAGGCGACCAACACATGTTACTCATCGGACTGCCGTGCAGGATCGTTTGGCACATATCCTAAACATGTCCGCGATAGACTTCGTGCGTACCAGGACCAGGCAGAAGCTCGTCCGGATCCTTTCATTTTCTCCGAGCAGCCTAAACTCATCGATGCTGCCCGTGAAGAGCTTGCCAGACTAGTTCATGCCCCCCTCGACACGGTTGTCTTCGTGGGCAATGCCACAGACGGCGTAAACACCGTCCTTCGTAACTTTACCTGGGCCGAGGACGGAAAGGACGTCATACTCAGCTTTTCTACCATATACGAAGCATGTGGCAAGGCGGCCGACTACCTGGCCGAGTACTTTGAGGGAAAGCTCGAGCATCGGGATATTGCCATTGCATATCCGCTCGAGGATGAAGAGATTATCGGCGCTTTCCGTAGGACAGTCAAAAAGATTCAAGATGAGGGCAAACGCCCCAAAGTCTGCATCTTTGACGTGGTGTCGTCCCGGCCTGGTGTCGTCTTCCCTTGGATGGACATGGTCAAGGCGTGCAGGGAGCTCGGCATCATCAGCCTCGTTGACGGAGCCCAGGGCATCGGCATGGTGCATCTAGACCTCACGGCCGCCGACCCCGACTTCTTTGTCTCCAACTGCCACAAGTGGCTGCACGTCCCTCGAGGCTGCGCCGTCTTCTACGCGCCCGTCAGGAACCAGCATCTTCTGCGGACAACGCTCGCCACCAGCCACGGCTTCATCCCGAAGCTGGTGCAGCGCACCACACCCATGCCGCCGAGCGCAAAAAGCGCCTACGTCAACAACTTTGAGTTTGTAGGCACCAAGGACAACGGGCCGTACATGTGTGTCAAGGACGCCATTGAATGGCGCCGAGGTGTCTGTGGCGGCGAGGACAAGATCATATCGTACCTCTGGAACTTGAATAAGAAGGGCATCAAGCTCGTGGCTGATGCGCTGGGCACCACGTACCTCGACAATAGCAAGGGAACCATGACAAACTGCGCCATGGGCAATGTCTCGTTGCCGATATGGGTGGGTGAGAGAGGCGAGGGGGCCAAGGAGACGGATATCGTCGTCCCCGAGGAGGACAAGGACAAGGTGTTCCGGTGGACCACGGAAACGCTGGTGAGGGACTACAGGACGTTTATGTTGCGGTTTATCATGGGAAATCGGTACTGGATCCGTCTTAGTGCGCAGATCTACTTGGATCTGGTGGATTACGAGTTTGCCGCCAAGGTTCTGAAGGAGCTTTGCCAGAGGATTGGCAAGAAGGAGTACCTGAAGTGAGATGTGCGATGCTCATGACCGATCCAGCAGAACGTCGTAGTGTTGGGTTGGCGATGGAGATGAATAAACCTGTGGTTACTATATACTTGCCGGTAGATGAGTTTCCTATTGAATACTTGCGGTTGCACGGTAAGTGCGAATATGGCCTCTCAACACTACAGATCCAGCATGATACGTAGATGCCAAGACGCATAATGTTGCTAGTATATTCTAATAATCTCAAGGTACAATTTTTTATATTTTTTTAAGAATTCTTTTTCGGGAAAAAAAAAACACAATACAGACAAACCTCTCTGCTTGTAGCGGATTACATCTGTGAATTTCACACGTCTACCGCAAACGCTCAGTGCACCTGAAAGAGAACTAATTGCTAGAATACAAGGTTCATGGTTTAGCTCTCTCGCACAAGATGAATCCGCAGAATCATGCCATGCTCGTTTATAGAACGGTATCATGATGCCTCTGCTAGCAACCGTTCCATGTTCCATTTTATAGGAATCTGTATGGAGCATGGAGTTGGTCAATCCATTTATTGAGAAAACTATCTGTTCACTGATAGTTTTGGCATTCAGAGGAGCCGCATGTCGTCTCGCCATATCGGCCCCTTGCATATATTCTCGCGGAATGAGTCGGCGGTACTGGCTCCACGTGGCGGCACATCAAACACCAGACTCAACCTCAAGCTGAGCAGCGTTACTTCTCTTGTCTCGTGGGAGAAAGAGCCGGCACATTAGAGCACTAACAGCGCCTACCAAGCGCAAAAGGAGGGAGGGTCAAGTAGTAATGTGGAAAGGGAAGCTATTCGGATACGCTTGCCAGCATGACAACCTCGCACTTGGGCTTGATACCTTGGCAAGTACGAGGAGGAAGAGAAAATACCGTGCTTAAGTATTACCGCTGCCCCCACCCCGTTTTTTTCGAGTACGCTGGGTAGAATTGAACAGAGTGTTGCGTTTATGTTTGCACTTTGGCTTTTGAGTTGAAAGTGTTGATATTTTAACGATAAGAACCCGCCGGCGGCCGGCCGTGCTTAAACGCCAGTAGAGAACTCCATGCAACGACCGAAGGCTACGGTATACATACCGCCACTATTCGGCATGCCCAAGACGTTACTACGATCCCAGCCGCACCAGCTGGCGTCCAGTTGCGAATAGCTTCATCAGCCACGGATTAAACTTTGTGCCGTAGAGCTACTAGCTGTGTCAGCTTCCCACTTCATAAGAAGCGCCACCAGTCACATAGAGCTACTTACACACTACAACTGTATATCCTAGAGTTACAAGCCACGTTGGCAACCGTAAGCCATGAGCTGCCACCGTTTCAGAAGACGTACATGGGCTTGGGGGAGGTTCTCGAGATATAGGGAACACGACCCCAAACCCTATTGGCGGTCCTTTTCTTGACTAGTGGGTTCTGGATATGTAAAAGGTAGGGAGGCCCAAGATCATGGTCAGTAGCCCACGCATTTACCCTATTGCCTGCCTCCCAATAGACAACAAGGACATTCCCATCATCGTCCTGATGGCCTCCCGAACATGGTAGCAGTCCCAACGGGCTAGGTCAGGACGGTTTGGAGAGCTCCATATGCATTAATGTATGTTGCCATATTATTCAAGTACGATGCTCCCCAAAATGGGAGGGCAAAAGCCCGAGGCTGTTTCAGAGTTTACCATCCAAACCATCTACAACCCGGCTGGAGGAGAGAGGGGTGGGTAGGTACCTGGTCTTGCAGGAATAAGTCAACTGGCTTTCGCAAGAGATGCAGGGACGTCGAAGAATAACTTGCGCACCGCGTGCGTGTACCTAGTATAAACTTTCTGCACGATGGTACCATGGCCATGATGGCGCCCTGCTTTTGTGAAGCCCCGCGCCTGCGCTTCCTTTAAAGAAACAGTGATCATCATCTTCAAGAACACGTGGCAATTGCCTGTGAAGACTGGCTCCCCTGTCCGCCGGCAATCCAACGCCAGTGTGGGATGAGCTAGGTGGCGTGCAAGACAAGAGGAATGCGCCTGGTTGGATGTATTTCATAACATGTTCCTCATGGCTCGCCACCTCTTGGCATCATTCAAAAAAGGCAGGTTCTCGATTTGGAGACAGGAACGAATTGGGTCAATGGATGTTGTGGCCGAGTACGTCCAGTCGTCCTCACGCTTACACTCTGGTACTGTTCTTCGCTTTTGCAGTCGTTGTACGCAGCAGTCAAGAATTAGACGAGGTCCTAGTGGCAACCTGACACTTTTTATCAGGCATCTTTGTACGTCTACCGAGTAGGTGACTTGCAGTCGCTTCATTCTCTACTTTGTGGTCTAAAGACATCTGTATTAGCCCCGGCTCCTCGCTCCCAGAGGGTTCAGGAACGAGCCTGTCCCTCCAGCAGCTCCAGATAGCGCCAGTAAGAGCGCCATGTTTAGAGAAAGAGGGATAGAAAAAGCCATGTTCCATTCCGGGTCATCGCCACTAGCGCTCGATGAGGCATTACGCTAGAGCAGTGCAAACACCTTGACTTGGTGATGGTGCCAAGGCTGACGCGTAAGTTGGCACTTGAGAACAATTGGGGAACTGCCAAATATGGTTTTTTTTTTTTTTTAAAAAAAAAAGAGAGAAGAAAAAGAAAAAAAAACTACATGTTCCAGTATAAACAATAAGAGTACTTGGCTGCGGAAACTAACCTGACGTACGGAGTAACTGACCTCTGATTATTTCCTCAACTTTTGTCTTATCGCCTCATGGTGCCTAATGTAGTTGTTTGCTCCAGACTCGACAATAACTAGCGTAGTGGCTGTGAAAACTAGCTTGATGAATTCTCACCGGCCTCTAATTGGTATCCATGTGCATGTGTATATATAGTATAATAGCCGGCAAGTGATGCACGAGTTTCAGCCACGTTTGGATCAACGGCGTCTGACGGGTTTCAGCAGCGCGGATCCGCCACGAATGCGCCCCCGACAAACATCCTTGGCCACAAACGTGTCAAGTCAAGTCTGGTGGCATCATGTCCAGAAGCCGCGCGGCATTGCGGCGGCAGCCACCCGCGAGGCCGGGCCAGAGGAGGGCCCCCCTGTGCATGTACTGCATGTATCTTTGCGAAACGACGCCGGTACCAGCACAGTAAAATAATTGACGGTACACTTGCGTCCGGAGTTTGGGCGACAGCCCCCTTGGGGCCTGTAGACAATTCGGCACTCTGGCTGCCGGGAATGAGGACAAACGCAACGCAATAGTGCAAGGTAGCGGTTTTGCCCCCCGGAACACTCCTGGTCTTGCCAGGCACCTCACGACCGTCTCACACGAATAAATGGGCGCCGGGTTTCCGGGCTCCTGTTGCTGGTTGAGCAACAAGTTGTTGTGTGCTGGGTTAGTTGCAAGTTCCGGTCGGCCTTGACTGACTGTCCTAGGCTCGAGGACAAAACTTCTCTTATGACGCGATGAATAACAAACAAGGACGAAAATAGTCAGCCATCAACCTAGTACTCCGTGAGAGCAGGGCTTGACAGCTTGCGACGCGAGACATGTAACCAATCCCGAGTTGGATTCGTCAACTCCTACAAAGGCCGTCGGGTCCGATTTGCTTCCCCTTGTTCGTTCGTTCCAGATTCCCCCTGTACCCTGTCCGACGGCAAGATCTGGTTGGCTTCGACGCCACCGTCCGCAGAAGCGCGAACCACCCCGACGATCTTCAACCTGGGGCTTGTCTTGGCCAACCAACCCTTTGCACCGGCGCCATCTCCACCACTCGTGAGGAACGCCCTTGTTTTGGACTGCAGGTTGTGTTTTACAGCATTCGTTACAGCCGCGCCTTCTACCACCTCATCAGGCACATCGGGTTTGAAGCTTGGCGTACGTGAGAGTGGCCTCTACGATGGGTAGCTGACGAAGCCTCACACCCCCGGGCCAGCTTCCATCTTGGAGCTTGCATGGAAACTAGAAACAAAAAGGGAAAAAAAAAAAAAAAAAGAGAGACGCCATGCTAGATCAAAACGGCCTCCTGAGGATCGGCGCCGCTGCGAAACCAACCGGCCGCGACGATGAAAACACCGCGACGGGCATAAAGACGGCCTTGGGGTCGCGATCCTCGGTTTCCCGTTTTCACTCGTCTTCTTTGTTGGGCAGCTGTTCTTGTGTGCCTTGCCTTGTCTTTCCCATTTCTTCTTTCTCTTCTTTCTCTTCCTTGTCCGGAGGCGGCGCCAAGCACCCCCCATCGGCGACGCAAAGGTTGACGGGGTCAATATTTCCTCAAGACACAGGCCACCTGGTGTGAGCCTTCATTTACGCAGATTCTTGCATGGTATATAATGAAAAAAAAAAACAAAAAGGAAAAAAAAAAAAAAAAAAAGAGAGACGCCATGCTAGATCAAAACGGCCTCCTGAGGATCGGCGCCGCTGCGAAACCAACCGGCCGCGACGATGAAAACACCGCGACGGGCATAAAGACGGCCTTGGGGTCGCGATCCTCGGTTTCCCGTTTTCACTCGTCTTCTTTGTTGGGCAGCTGTTCTTGTGTGCCTTGCCTTGTCTTTCCCATTTCTTCTTTCTCTTCTTTCTCTTCCTTGTCCGGAGGCGGCGCCAAGCACCCCCCATCGGCGACGCAAAGGTTGACGGGGTCAATATTTCCTCAAGACACAGGCCACCTGGTGTGAGCCTTCATTTACGCAGATTCTTGCATTCTCTCTTCTCATCGTTATTATTATTATTATTATCTGTTTTACTGGCCTCTTCTCCCCCCTCACCCGTTCCTTTGGTCACATCGAGTTTGGTGCCGCCCTTTGTTATAGATTGGCCCAAGATGCATGCGCAGTCTCTCATAGTGTACATCTGTGCGCTCTTCGCCCTTGCCGGCGTTTCGGCGGCCGATGTCCAGAAACGCTCGTTCAGCGTCAACAGAGTGGCCAACCCCAACTTCACCGGGCGCAATGGGCCCCGGGCGCTCGTGAGGGCGTACAGGAAGTTCCTGATGCCGCTGCCCGACGGCCTGGTGGACGCCATGGAGGCGCAGGACAAGCAGCAGGCTGCCGCCCGGCTCAGGAGGAGCATTCCCGAGTCGTTTCGGCCCCTCAGGCTGAGGCAGCCTGACCGAAGAGGGCTGCTGGACGACTTGCTGGGGGGCCTGGACATGAAGGGCGGGAAGCAAGACGGCAACCAGGGCGGCAACGGAGGCAACGGAGGCAACGGAGGCAACCGGGATGGCAACGGAAACGGCAATAACGGCAATGGTGAGCAGAACGGGAACCGGAAAGGCAATGGAAACGGTAGCAACGGCAACCGGGGCGGGAATGACGACAACAACGGCAACAGAAACGGCACAGTCGGCGCCCCCTCCAACAGCACGGCGCCCGGGACGAACCAGACGGGAAGTACGGTGGCCGACCCGGAGAGAAACGACGCCGAGTTCATCTCGCCCGTCAAGATTGGCGGCCAGACCATCAACCTCGACTTTGACACGGGCTCGTCGGACCTGTGGGTGTTCAACACGCAGCTCGGGCCGGGGGTCGACGCCGGCCACCGCGTCTTCGACCCGAACCGGAGCCAGACGTTCCAGCCCATGCAGGGCGCCACCTTTAACATCTCGTACGGCGACGGCTCCGGGGCCGTGGGCAACGTGGGCACCGACGTCGTCGACGTCGGCGGCGCCAGCTTCCCCAACCAGACGGTCCAGCTGGCCACCAGGGTCTCGGCGTCCTTCGCCCAGGACCGGGACAACGACGGCCTCATGGGGCTGGCCTTTTCCAAGATCAACACGGTCAAGCCCGTCAGGCAGGCGACCTTCTTCGACAACGTCAAGGACTCGCTCGCCGAGCCCGTCTTCACGGCGGACCTGCGCAAGTCGGCCCGCGGCTCCTACGCGTTTGGCAGCATCGACGAGTCCAAGTTCAAGGGCCCCATGGCCTGGATCCCCGTCAACAGCAGCCAGGGCTTCTGGCAGTTCAGCAGCGAGAAGTTCGCCGTCAACGGCGGCCAGCCCCAGGCCTCGACGCCCGGCGGCCAGGCCATTGCCGACACGGGCACCTCGCTCATGCTCGCCGACCCCGTCGTGGTCGAGGCCTACTACTCCCAGGTCGAGGGCGCGCAGAACAACCGCCAGCAGGGCGGCGTCACGTTCCCCTGCAACGCAAAGCTGCCCGACTTGGACGTGGACATTGGCGGCGTTTACATGGCCAAGGTGCTCGGGACCGACATGGTCTTTGCCGAAGTGGGCAACGGCGGTAAGTCTACCATCCTTTTTGTTGTTTTATTTTGCTGTGGCGCTTTTTGCTGAAACGTGGCGGCCGTTGCTAATGATCTGGGGGTTGTCTAGAGTGCTTTGGTGGTTTGCAAGCCAGCCCGGCTCCCAAGTTTGCCATTTACGGCGACATCTTCTTCAAGTCCCAGTTTGTCGCGTTCAACGGGGGCAACGCCAGCTTGGGCATGGCTCCTCACGCGTGAATATAAATATATATGTGTGTGTGTGTGTGTGTAAGTGTGTGTGTGTGTAATACAAAGGATAGAGCTGCTGGGACTACAACTTTCCGGCAAGTTGGCCGTGAGATAAAGAGGAAGTAGTAGAAGAAGAAGTCAATAGAGGCTACGGCGTCGGGTCAAAGCCTGAGAACGGCATCCAAGTGTCTGCGTCATGTTGGACATTTGGCAGAAACACCATGGGCTGAGAGACCGGCGTTTTGCATGCCACCGAAATACAGCAAGTCAAATAGTTCTATAGCATGATTATTATTATTATTATTTCCCCACAATGGCACCCGTTGGTTGAGTGGCACACACAATCACCAGGCACCCGCAGAAAAGAAACAAAATAGTTGGCCCGTTGTGAGTTGGCACGACACGTCCATGTCATGCGTCGTCGGGACTTTGGTGCCATTGGCCTTTTGTCCACGGGCCGACTAATGCCGCACGCTACCAGGTCGCAAAATACGTCTGCCTAATCAACCAAGCCAATGTCATGGTTTCGCGCCCCAAGGAAACATCTGGACCAGCTAGAGCTGGATGCGCGCTTGACGAGGCGAGGCGTCTTCCGTGTGACGGGACAGGATTCCGCCTCGGCATCACCCAGCAGATGGCATCGTGTAGGTTTTGTTATAAGACACTCTCTTCTCCGCGGAAAACAATTGCGCCAGCTAGGAAAAAAGAAGAAACAAGACATTATAGATTATAGCATGATTGTACAACTTTTCCCATAGTTTCGCGGCCCCCCAGATATCTCAGTCACTCCCGCCTCGGGCCCAAGTCTCATCACATTAAACATCCCGCCACCATCGACACAACATGGGCTCTTCACAGTCGGCCGACAAGTCCGACTCTGGACAAGAGGCCAAAAAGTCCCTCTACCGCAAGTACCAGGACAAAAAGGGCCCCAAGCCCATCAGCGACGACGACATTCTCAAGTACACGGGCAAAACCCGAGACGAGCTCAAAAGCTGGGCCGACGACCAACCCGGCGTGGGCAAGAACCAGCTCGCCGGCAAGCTCACGATTGGCAATGCAAGCGGGCTCGGCGGCGTGGCTACTGGCGCAGGATACGGAGGCTGGGGTCCCAGTGCTGAGCCGCAGGGCGCGAATCGGGGCATGAAGTTTCCGCCGCAGCATGTCGAGTCGCAGCCCAAGGTTGTCGACGACGATGACGAGCTGGGATGAATGTGTGTGTGTGTGTGTGTGTGTGTGTGCATGTGCAGATGGATGGACGGATGGATGGATGGGGGCGAGGAGGGAGAGGGATGAGTCCACTACATTTGCACAGGTTTGGACTTGACGGGATACCACTAGTTGAAATTGAAACATGCTCTATTGGTGCCAATGATTCGACGCATCTCCAAAACAAGTCCTTCGTATCGAGAAATGCTGGAGCCTAGATTCAGCCGTGGCATGGCTGCAGCGCCTGTGAAATCCAGCCGCCGACCGCTCCATGGTGTAACAAAGAAGCAATATTCTGTCCAACCGCCCCCATCCAGTCCATCGCAAAAACGGGTCTGGTTGCTCAAGGCGGTGCTTTTCTGTCGTCGTCGAGGGTGAAGGCGAACTGAGACGTGGCCGGCCTCATGCCCGCCTGGCATATGGTATAATGATTTGCATGTTGCAAGTACAGCGTAACAGGCTTTCCACGCCGCTCTTGCTCCCAACTCCGTGGCCGACAGCTCAAAAATGCAACAAACCAGAAAAAGAATGCTTTCAAACGCCCATCCCAAGTCCAAATCTCTCTCACTCTCACAGAAACCCCCCCATCCAGATATAAAAGGAATCTTCGCCGTCTATCAAAGATGTTGTCTTCCAGGCTCTACCCATCAACAACTAGACATGATCGGCACTAGGAGTCCACAGCATGCGTCCTTTGCAGGCGTGTTCTTGGGCAAAGGACCTGTACCGCTCCAGAATGTCCGTTTGCCCAAGCCCCTCGGATTGATCTTTGGAACTGTAATAAGCAGCTACTCCCCTTCCATTCGCCACAGCGGCTATAATAAAGAATTGCTTGTCAGTCACTCCACGTCATAACTTTTGCCAAACCCACAAAAAAAAAAAAAAAAAAAAAAAAAAAGCTGCTGTACTCACGTCGACCTAATTTTCGTGGCATCGTCACGGCAAAATGTATCTCGGCAGCAGCCTCAATCGGCTTGGCGGCATTGATGTCTTTGCCAGTCATGGCCACAAGCTGGGTGCCCATGCCGAGATCCTGATAGTTCCACAGGTGGAACTTGTATTTCGACAGCTCCCCCCTTTCCAGATTCTCGAGCAGACTGTAATGCTGCTGGGCGGCAGCCATCCACTTCCACTTTCCCTGGTCCTTGTAGGCATCGTAGACGGTGTGGACAATGGGCGTATTGTGAAGGAGGTGGTCCTTCTTGCCCGTGACCGGCAGCCAGAGATGCTGTCGGTCTGCGGGGGGGTTCCATTTGTCCACGTCGAAATCGGGCGGTCCTCGCCACGACGGCAGCCGAGACGGGCGCCAGTTGACCCCCGACCCGGCTTCAACGGGCGTCCATGTCTCGTTGTCGGGCAGATACGGCCTCACGGCCCCGAGGCTCAGGTGAAGCCAGCTGCTCAGAGGTTGGTTGACGACGTTTGCGGAAACAAGGTAGAAGTCGGGTCGTGTGGCCCTCGTGTGCGCCATGGACAAGATGGTTCCATCTTCAACGTAGACCTGGCAGGGAGTCAGTGCTGCGCGACTTGCGGGAGAAAAAAAAAGCCATCTTGCGAAACCACGTACAATGCCCGAGTCGACTTTAATGTACAACAGGTCGTCTTGGACTCCATCGTAGGCTCGTTCGTCGCTCCCCTCGTGGCGCAACCAGGAGTAGTGCGCTTCAGACCGGACAAGCTTGTCGAGAAATTCCACGTCGCGGGCATCGTCGGTTTGCCGCAGCCAAATAACCTTGTCGAGGACGCCGCCGTTCTTGGCCAGATTCCGCTGCTCGGCAAAAAGAGTTAAGCTTAGTCTTGGAAATGGGCGGGCGATTAGCACGTCTTGGCATGCCGACGACCGACGAACCTTGAGATAGCAGTCCAAGATGGACGCCTGTTGCCGCTTCTGGTAAAAGACGAGCCCGACAATCTTGCTTATTCCTTCGCGCTTCTGCCACTCCCGGACAACAGTCAGCATCTTGGTCCTGGAGACGAAGCCATCCCGGTCGACGTGCCCGTGGCCGTGGCCGTGGCCGCGCAGATCCGTCACCGTCGGTAATTGTTCTTGAAAAAGAAGGAGCAACACAATGATGATGCCGGCTCCCACAAGCCACCGCTTCAGCAGCAGCAAGTTGAGTGGCATCTCGCCAGCGCAATTTGGGAAGCAGACGGGACGGGGATAGAGTCACACAAGGGGAACCGGGTCACATATGAATCTTTTCTTTTTTTTTTCTCTTTTTTAATTTGCCATGGGAAATTTTGCTCGTTGGTCAAATGACCCCAGAACACCCGGACCGAGCATGAAGAGCATGCATGGCACAAGACGACTCGCCCAATTTCCGTACATCCCTGTGGTGCACTCTGGTCCGTCTAGATGGCGCCCATTGGCCACCTGCAGCCACACGTGTACTACAAAATAGTACTTGGTTCGAAGCCCACGTTTCACTCGTGGAAGGAAAACGACGAGTAATCTTCTGAGGGCAAAAGTCGGCGTCTAGACCCTCCATCTCACGAGCCTTGCGGCCATTTGGGGCCCCTGGTCCTCAGTGCCATCTGTGACTTCTGAGCACGGACGATTTGCGGGAAAACCACGTCTTCTATGTACATCTGTCGCGTTATTCTGGACTAGCGTCATCATTCACGCCGTAAACACCACCAACGAGGCATTCAGGTACTTCCGTCGTGCCTCGATAACATGCTTGGGCAGTTGTAGATCTCCAGTTCAAGCAATGCAGTCTACCGAATTGCAACGGCCACAAAGCCATGTACCTCGTCTGGACGGGAGTTGTGGCCTGAATACACAAACAACCACTATCGTAGGTGTAAAATTAATGTCCACAGGTCGTTGGCGTGAATCACCAAATTACAAACAGAATCTAGGGTGAGCCAAAGCAATTGTGCTTGATATTGCAATATATACCCGACTCAAAATCTCATATTTACAACGAACCAGCTTGACTCTGCAGTAACCCATCAATCACTACGTGGGGACGCTATCACTACGCGAGAAGTACATGCATACCAGAAAAAAAAAAAAAAAAAAAAAAAAAAAAAAAAAAAAAAAAAAAAAAAAAAAAAAAAAAAAAAAAAAAAAAAAAAAAAAAAAAAAAAAAGCCCAAAAGTGGTCAAAAAACAGTCCCCTAGCCCAACAAAAATAAAGAATAGTCGCTAGTCATCAAGTCATAAGTACTGGAGGAAAGGTTGTTTGGATGAAAGTCGGGGTTCGCGCAAGCTGGGCAACATAAAGAGTCGGTGTCTAAGGGACATGTCCTGTGCCCTGTTGTCCCTTGATTGGCCCGTCAACTCCACATATCGTTATAGGTTCTGTGATGGACGCTTCCGGACCGTGGCGCATTACGGCTGCGGCCTGTGAAAAGAACGAGTTTGTGCGAATCGTCGTAGCTCGAATCAAGGCTCGTGTCGGAATATGGTCTGTGTCGGCTATATTATTGACCTTTACTCGGAAGCTTTCGAGCATCCTATGTGCAGCTTCAATGTGCTCCCTTTCAGCTGCCATGAGAAATAGATAAACCAAGAAGTTTCCACATAGAATGAGCTGAGACCGAGCATCTATAATACCAAACAAGCAAGTTGATTAGAGTACTGATTGGGAGAAAAGAGGCCCCTGCGCCAATTTTCCATATGAGAAGGCGTTACTTACGACGACCCCAGAAACCTCTTAGGTCACCAGGGTTGATACTGATGAAAAATTCTGTGAACCACGCAAAATCCGCAATCGCAAACGGAAACCACTGTCTCAGATTAGAGTTAGGGTCCGACTTGGCAGCCTTAGTAGCAGGATGCATCAACGCTCGATAAAGAAGGACTTTTGTTGCGTAAAAAGTCAGATGAAGGGGGCCTAATTGTTCCAATGTTAGCCCAGGTAGACTTCCTCTAGTCGGTTAATTAATTGTTTATTTTGTTTTCAATCTCACAGTTATAGCAGGAAGTGGCAGGATCTCGATTTCGAGGAACAACCAAACAAGAGGGAATCAGGCTGGGCCAATCCTTCAATTTGTCGTGTATGTCAGCGAGTTGGTTACGTGACGCTATTCGCTGATGCAAGTCTGCCACTCTCGTGTCGACTTGACTATAAAATCCTCTGTCAGTACAAATGCAACCCTTGGGAAAAGGCAAACTGGCTTACAAATTGCTATCAATGACTCCTCGCAGCAATCGGGTGATTTTTACCGTTTCCAAAAATCGAGCACCTGATGCGACATCAAAGCACCAACTCGAACTGTCAACAAGATGTTGCAATTCCTCGGGTACATCTTCATCGCAGCGAAGATCATCTATATCGAGCATAGTCGTGTTGTAAGAGGTTTCGCCGATGTGAGGAGGGTTGCCATGTGAAACTGCAGCCCAGCAATCTGTTACAAAGGCCGCCCACCAGAGTTTCTTCCTCAACTTCTTTTCGATAATCTCCAAATTCCAATCGCCAGGATCTTGGTGAAGACCAATCAGTTGCGCACATGCGGTAGCTTGCGCACTCAACGTGAAAGTTGACGGCGCTTCCATGGCATCGATGGAAGGGGGTTGGATGTGTATCAAGAGCAAACAAGCCTGCAAAACAAAGAAGTTGGGGTTTTCTATTTCTCTGCGAAGGGCTCTATGAGCCTGGTCGACAATCTCGTGCTGCTCCAAGGGAAACCGGTCCCCACGGCGAGTGCTGGGGTCCTCTGCCCAGAAGACAGATGCGAGAGCGTACACCGCGCCACGTAGACATCCCGGTATCGACTTTCTGTTACTTGCATAGCGGCGAAGGAAGCGAACCTTGGATACTATTGGCAAAACCGGATGCACATGCTTGAAATACAGCCCGACGAGCACGTCAGCGTGCGGCCAGACTTTTGTCTCGATAGCATCTGAAGCCTGTTCCCTCGTTTCATTGGTGTGCTTGGGGTGGCCCATAGACAGGAAAAGGAAATGGAGCGGGAGGTCGTCGACACCCGAGCCGCCGCGGTGCAGCTGGACTACATTGGCGTCGACGGTTGCCGTCTCACTTAAGATACCATAACTAAAGGCGTCCAGAACAAAAGGGTCTTGCTCAGCAGTACGACCGAGGAAATAGGTCGCTCTGCCGGGATTATCTTCCAGTGTGTGGACTGAGCCTGCGCCGCTGATACACGACGATTCCGGAGAGTTCAGTGTAGGTTGTACAATATCCATGCTTGCAGCGCTGGCGTCTGGGTCCGACCTCGGCCGACCCCGAGGGCTGGCATATGACGAGTAGCTACCAGCAATTGCTTCATAACCCGGGCGGGGAGAGTAGTCACTGGCTGCAGAAACGGAGACATTGGAGGGTGAAGTGATGGGTCGAGGACTTGACTTGACGGTATTCGGGCTGGCCAACATGTCTGTTACATCCCGTTCTCCCGAACCACCAGGGCCAGAGTCGGGGAAAGAATGACCTGCACCTGCAGGCTTCGAAGAGCTCGTAGAGCCACCCTCGGAGCCCGATTGCTGTCGTAGTAGCGGCCCATCTGTAGACGAGGTAGACTGGCATACTATCCCCCTACTCTTACAGAAGGTACCTTGATATAAAATTAGAACAGTGGACACGTGGTTGGCGGGATCATGCGCAAATCTCGTAAAGTCAGGGCCAAGGTTGAGCCGAAAGCTAGCCAAGAGGAAACGGTTAATAGACTTACATGGAGGCTCCGTAGTGATAATGCAAGCAGTCTTCCGGCGGCGACATGCATCGCAAGGCCGACTCTTTCGGCTTCTCCTCTCTCTGGGTACACCAAAGGTGCTTTGTATCACAAATTTGCGGGGGCGGTTTTGAGTTCCTGGGTCAGAGACGCCTTCGGACCGTTCACCCGAACTACGGCCATTAGCATGGATCTGGGTCTGAGCTTGAGCGTGAGCGTGAGGGTTCACGGCAGGGCCGGGTGCATGTCCCGGGATATTGGAGCCGGAGCCGTCACCGTCCATGGCCGTGACCGAGTCGTCCGGCGCGTGCGGTTCAAAGCTTTTGGCGTCGAAGGCGTCACGTCGGCCTATCGATTCGATCTGTGGAAAATGTTTCGGCGAACATTGGGAGGGTCACGGGTTGACCGATGGGATCAAATCATGATTCGTAGACCATGTGGTGGAGTCTGTTACTGCCAGATGATGGAGATTACGGAGTAGAGGGCCATCAAAATGCAGCCAATGCCGACCCTTGATTGGCTCACATCCCACGGTTGATCTGCGGGCGGAACGGGCGGCATCAGGTACCCAGTGCCAGGTGAAGAAACGGAGCCGGAAAAACCACCAGTTAGATTGGTCGTGTGATGGGGAGATCTAGCACAGCATGCACTAAACGAGGCGGACTCCGCTTTTGTTAGTGCAGCTGGCAAGCCCTATGATAGGTCGATGCTCCGTACAGCACTTGCTTTGAGATTCACCTAGGACGTCCGTACTTCGTACAGAATACTGCACTGCACATCATATCGCCATTGACCATCAGTTTGAATCCCATGGCCCATCAAAGCCTCAAGTCTGCACTTGCAAGGGCGACGGGCGGGCATAACTCGCCAGCCCTGGGAGTCACCTGGTTCAGGGTAAAAAGCAAAAAGTTGGCCGAAGCTAGTCCCGGTCACCGCAAGTGCCGCCAAGTTTAGGTTCTTCGCCCGAGAGTTTATTACCGGATAAAATCAAACAGCAATAGTATATGGCTCGTTGGAGCAAGAAGAAGCCCGATCACTCCCCCCCGCCAGCATTCCGCCGAAATGTGTTCCAACTTCCAGCCTCCTGGGCCGGGACCAAGGCCATCGACAGCATGACACAGTGATCGTTGATTGGCATTACTACTCTGGATCGCACCGACGAAAGCTTGACAAGTGGGGTCGGGCGCAATGGGATGATATCACACAGAGTCGGATTCTGAACGATGCTTCGCTGGGAAGTAGATGTTCCCAAAGGGAAACGGGAGCTGTCCATCGGCAAAAAGACCCCCTAATTGGCACAGCCTGCATTGATTCATGCAGGGCAACAGCTTCGGCACTCCATAAGAACGACAATCTACTACAAAATCTATGCTTTCAGCTCTACATTGAGCTCTGAGCGTCCAGGTCGGCCATAGAACTATGTGCAAGGGCATCCTGGACAGAGACGGGCAGATCTTGGCGGGCGTTGTTGCTGCCAAGCATGAGGTTGGAACAAAAACACAGGCAAGTCCCAGGCCTCGGCCAACTTTCAATGCTACCGCAAACTTCATCTCATGTACAAATTGAATGTTCTCGGGAATCGTGCTAGCACTCGTTTCAAACACTCAGTACACAGACGATGAGACATTGATTCACAAACTGCCGGCCAACTTCGGAGTAATAGGCCACCATCTTCACCCTATCCAAGGCAAAGAAAGCTACTAGTAAGCTAAAACGCCCGCCGTCCTCTTTGATTAGGATGGCAGATCGACGATTATCCGCACTTGCCCATCATACTGAACGGTGGTTGTCACTGAAACAAATCGGTAACTTGCAGCCACTTTACTAGTCAAGTGCAAGAAATTGAGGCTTAAACGAAAAATAGTCACGGAGATTCATGGTTCATGCAACACTGGGGGTAGCCAAACAATCAATTTTGGCCATGATGCTCATGGAATGTCCAGGCAAGTCAAGCACAGCAAGCATCAACTGTCGAAAACTCTCAATGCATTGCTTGTAGGACAGACCGACCATTGCATTCGACCCATGTCTTGTACAATTGGTACCGAAGTGGTTCTTCATGCATCCAATACATTATGCAAGCACAGACCTGCAGCATGGCCACGATACGAGATTGCCCGACAAGAACTGGTAAGCAATATTGCAACAGGGTGACATGTACGTGCATGGAGACGTCTTCCACGGAATTGCGACGATATATAAAGGATTGTACCATCATCAGAAGAATCCGAAGGAAACCTCGTATCCTTCATGAACTCGTCGGCATCAGTTCTGCCGAGCGGGAGCTCTTGCTCCACACATGTTTCCGCTCTTGTACGAAGCTCCTTGCCGAGGGATTATTTTGGCTGCATTTTCAAGCACGGACTTAGTGAAGATATTGAAATGCACGTCTGTTTTTGTTGTTGGATACTCGAGTGTGGCGGCTTGCAGGGTGAATGTAAGTCGTAGACAGGATACCAAAGACAATTGATTCACTCCGCCCACAACAATCCAGGCCCAATTCAGGGGTCAACTATCATCAATACTTTAAACTTATGCCTAGATCGGAGCCAAAAGACGGGCAGGGCAGACTACGAGCCACTGGGAAACAAGCTTGTCATCAGCTCGGACCCTCTGCAAGAACGAACTTGACGACAATTTAACAGAGGGCAGTAGTATTCAAATCCGGGTGCCAACTATTTATCAAAGGCATACTTTGAAACGAATGACAAATATTTTCAGCCGCAAAAATAGTATCAAAAAGATCGACTACATCGTATACACTTGCCCTCGCGGATTCCTCAACGTTTAGATGGCATTCTGCTTGGCACGAAGGTCGAAGACCTTGAGTGCCTCCTCGGCGGCCTTGAGACCACTGAGAGCCATGGCACCGAATGTTGGGCCTATGGGCCAAGGTTAGCTTTCAGGATGGAAAAGTAATGTGCATCACGAGTCAGGATTAGCATACCCATGCGGTTGGCACCGTCGACTTCAGAAAGCTCCATGCCACCAACAATGAGACCAGGGACGATTTCACGGGTGTTCTTGACGATGGCATCTTCGGCCGAGTTCATATCAAGACCCCGCATGCCGCCGAGCTTCTCGATACGCTGCATGCTGACGAGACGCTTGACACAGAAGGCACCCATGGGACCGTCGTGGCCGGTGGTGGAGATGATGAGAGGGGCGTTGATGGTGTTGGGGTCCATGCAGGACTGGTCGTCATGATGCATGGATACCAAGGTCCAGTTGGTAACGACACCAGCAATCCTGATGCCCTCTTCCGAGGGACGAGTGATCAAATCCTCAACGCAAGTGGCGTTGAACATCTTTACGTTGGGCAGAGACAGGACCTTGGACATGATGGTGGAGGTGAACAGCGCGGCGTGCTTGACAACCACGTAGTTGCCCTCATCTTCATAAGGGACACCAATCTCGCGGAGGAAAGCATCAGCCGGCTTTCTCATGACCATGGCGGAGAAGAGCTGTCCGCCCAGCCAGGCACCACCGCCAGGAGAGACGGAAGCCTCAATGATGCAAATCTTCAGATCGGGACGCTGCTTGCCAAGGACATAGGCAGCGCTGAGACCGCAGGATCCAGCACCAATAATGACAATGTCAGATTCGGCATAGGCGTCGAGGTCCTTGAAGTAACGGCGGGTCATGGCACGAGAGACCTGACTCTCACGAATGGGAGCAAACTTGAAGTTGTCCCACTGGCCCATCATTTCTTCAATCGTCTGGGTGTTGTTGGAACCAGCTTTGACGGCGAGCTTAGAGCTAGAGGTCGGGGTCACGAGCTCAGCGACCTTCTGAGTGGGAGAAATGGCAGCCGGGGGAGACATTATGGATCTACACAAGTTAGGGCTGTGGGAGACGGCTTTTAAAAGAGGGGGAGCATGATCCTTTCGCTGGTATGATCCAGATCAAGTTCAGGGCCGTATAATCTCAGCCACCCTCCCCTGCTTCGACCCCATTGAGAAAGAGCAAAAGCTTTTGCACGTAGTCGCAAGGAGTAAAACAGAGGAGAAGGCACCGGCTCATGCAAACAGACATTACCTGAAGAGAGGTGATCATAGTTGGATATACCACAACGGAAGGAAGCCATGATCGCTGCTAAATCAGGAGGTGCGGTGTACCGGTTGAGATTCAAGTCTGGACCTGTGCGTGTTAGAAGCAGTTCTCTGTACGTATTTGCTCAAGGGGGCATTTCTCTACAGACAAGTTTGTTGTATGGTGATGAGGTCCAAAAGTTTTGGCTATCGATTTGACTCGGGGTCGACACGAAAATGTAGGAGAAGAGGATTCGGCAACGTCGACGCCAGAAGGAGGGGTCGGATGAGGGGTTTTATACGCATCCCACCTCACAGCGGGGTACAACACAGTTGCTCATATCTACGCACACCCACACACACAGCTACAACCACAACAGTCATCATCACCACTGCCGTTGGCCACGAGCCGGGTGCCAGCTCCATTCGGAGTGGGGCTGTCCGCACTTTCCCGGTACTTGCCGTTCTTTCGACAGAGAAATTTCACGCATAGCACTTTTGCTGATTCCTGTTGGGAGCTCGACAGACGCTGGTTGCTCCTGGGCTGGCGGCTATGGAGCTTGTGAGGGGCCCTGATAGCTAGAGCGAATCATTGCGACTTGGATGGTGTGAAGGCTGTTGAAGCTGTGGATCTGGATGTCAGGTGGGGGCGAATCGAGATGCTGCGATAGTCGTCGAGACTCAAGCCCTACGAAATTGGATCGTCACAAGATAATCCAGTTGAGATCTATTGGTTTGACTTGTCATAAACTGACAGCCGAAAAGAGCTACATGACGAGTGGCGCCGTCCGGAGCAGGAGACTGTCATCTGAGGTGGTGGCTTGTAACCAACAATGGTTCAACTTATATACTCGAAAGATGGCAAGTTTCGACACCGGTTATGCGGCGAAGCCAAATACGACGACGGTTTCGGGCTCATGCCTGGGCAACTTCTAGGATGGTCTTGACAAATCGCTCCGGGTCATGACCAAATCGGCCCAAGAACAACCCATCCAGACCTGACTTCAACCGCTCATACAGACCTGGTCCCGCACTGCCGCCGTAAACGACTCTGGTAGTTCCCTGCCTTGATTTTACGCAGTCGAGCCGTCTGATGCCTTCGACTACTTTCAGCACATGGTCCTCGGCAGCAGGCTCACTGGCACCAATCGCCCAAACGGGCTCATACGCAAGAGCCACCTCTGCTATGGACGGTACAGTAGCAAGAACAGCCTCGACCTGAGTTCTGCACTCATCAACAGCAACGCCAATATCCCCCTTTGTTTGCTCTCCAATACACACCAGGGGGACCATTCCGTTTCTGCTCACTGCGGCAGCTTTCTTGGCCACTATTGCGTCATTTTCACCGAATAGCCGTCTCCGCTCTGCATGCCCAACTTCCACAATCCTGACTCCGGCCTCGCTGAGAACCGCGGGACTCACTTCGCCCGTAAATGCGCCGCTGTCTTCCCAATGGCAGTCTTGGGCCCCGGGCCATATGGGAACATGGGAAGACTTGAGTTGTCCGATGGTTTCAGTGAGGGACACAAAATCCGGGATGATAAAGATGTCGACATCGGACAGCGATTCGGGAGAGGTTCTAGAGAGGCAGTCCAGAAATCCTTTCGTGACTTCGCGGTTCTGTGAAAGCGAAAAATACATTTTTGCAGAGAGGCCGACGAGCCGGCGAGGAGGCGGCGACGTTGCCATTGCGCACGAGAAGCCAGATTCCTGGTAGTTCGACCGATGCAGGTTGAGCTTGGAGGAAGAAGACGGCGAGGGTGGAGGATGCCTCGGGAGCAGCCTACACTACTGCTAAAGATCAATTGGAATTAGGATGAAAGTTTGCCGTGCATGAGACCAGCAACCCCGGAATTGGGTTCGTCCGTTTGTGCGGGCCGACCGAGGGACGGACGGGTCCTCCGGCGCCGGGAAATTTCCATGGGAGCCTCCCCTTTCCTTTTTGGGAAAACCGTCCACCGGAGCCGTGAGCAAGCTTGATCATCCATTCTGGAACAGCCGCCCTCTGGGATCACAATTGCTTGTTGCTGTTTGAGTATTTCATTGCGGCAAGTTGAAGAACAAGAAACGCGCCGCATGCTATGCGAGACAACCAACTGAGAATCATGCACAGGCAATTAATTAATTATGGTTATACTCTGTCAACGCCAAGATTCTTCAAATCTACACAACCACTGCCGTCCCAACCCCGAAACCCGAATCCGCCACTCGACTTTAGCCGTTCGTTCAAGCCTCCAAGCTGGTAATCTCATCAACCTTCTTAGCGCTTGCGCTCGTCGTGTCGAATTCATACCCGAGCCACTCCTTGGCCAGCCTTCGGGCTAGTTCGAGCCCGACCACACGCTCGCCCATACAGAGAACCTGGGCATTGTTGCTCAGCACGCTTCGCTCCACGCTGAAACTGTCGTGGGCGGTAACTGCTCGGATTCCCTTGACCTTGTTGGCAGCAATTGCGACTCCCAAACCGGTTCCACAGATGAGTAGTGCGCGGTCGGCCTTGCCCTCGGCGACAATTCGGGCGGCAGCCGCTGCTCGTAGGGGATAGGCCGTTTTGTCGCTGGACTCTTTGGAGCCGACATCGATGACCTCTGTGACCCGGCTGTCGGATTCGAAATCGCGCTTGATAGCGTCCTTGTAGGAAACTCCAGCTTCCTGTGGCCCTCTTTCTCAGCTTGCGTCTTTATCTTTGGTGATTCTGTGCTTGTGCCGATGACTATAGTTCACTTACATCACAGCCCATGACGATCCTCCATGTTGGTGACATTGTGGTTTTGAGCTTGCTGCCAACTAGGTGAAGAAATGAAGCAAAATAGAACAACGGGGAGGAGAATCGAAAGACAACCAGTCAAATTATTTCGTTCCAAGAAAGAGCAATAGTCGCAGAACCTGACAGGAAAAAGGGAAACAAATCCGTCTTCATGAGAAACTCCCCCACCCCCAATCGCCACTATGCCCCGCCGCCGTCCGGCTTCACAAGCATGTCTTCAATTCCCCATGTGTCACTGCAACGTCAATGGACCCTGGCTGAGCCAGCTCAGACTTAGCTTCTACTGAATAAAGCGTCCTGAAACGGTCTGGACAACTGCATTCGTGGTGGATTGTCACGTCTAAGCCGTGGGGTGGCGATGGCGGGTTTCCAAAATAGGAAATCCGACGCTATTAGTCCTGGAGACGGGTCGCGAACTACGAGAAGTTTGAATGTCATGAGAACATCATGAGGGGCAGAATATGCGGGGACTTGTAGAGACATATCAAACTATGGATATCGTTTGCGGGAGCCGTGCACGAACGCGGGACTAGTCGGTGATAGTAATCGACCATATACGACGGTACGATGGAACGGTATGAAGCTCGTTCTAGCAAGCGCCGCCAGGGACAGGGAATTCGCATTATCCTGATTCAAACAAACTCCGAAACGCGAAAGAGCTCCCTGGTCTCTTTATCAGCTTGATTTTGCCCGAGATTCCTTGTCCAGACGGTCAATCTCTTTGCATTTGGTAGTCAATTGCATACTGAAGCTACCATAATGTCCAAACGACACCTCTTCAACTCGCCTGAGGGCCTTGTTAACAAGGCACTGAAGGGAGTTATTGCGTACAATCCGAGCCTTAGTTTGGATGAAACCAACAGAGTCGTGTATGATTCTTCATACGACAAGTCCAAAGTCTGCATCGTCAGCGGCGGCGGTTCGGGGCATGAGCCAGCATGGACCGGCTATGTTGGCACCAACATGCTCACAGCTTCCGTCCAGGGAGACATCTTTGCCAGTCCTAGCACGAAGCAGATTCTAGCTGCGGTGGAAGCTGTGCCAAGTGACAAGGGCACTATCCTTGTCATCACCAATTACACAGGCGACTGTCTACATTTTGGCCTCGCCAACGAGAAGGCCAATGCTGGTGGACACAACTGTCGCATGATTATTTGCGGCGACGATGTATCCGTCGGAAAGAAAGGCAGCATGGTTGGACGCAGAGGCCTAGCAGGCCAAATTGGTGTGCTCAAGGTTATGGGCGGTGCTGCTGGAGCTGGGGGATCGCTCGACGACGTCTACGATCTCGGAGTCGCCTTTTCGCAGCAGATCGTGTCCATTGCGGCAACTCTGGACCATTGCCACGTTCCCGGCCGAACTGAGCACGGCATGCTTCATGACGATGAAGTTGAAATCGGGACTGGTCCCCATAACGAGCCCGGCTATAAGAAGCTTTCTCCGCCCCCATCGCCGTCCGAGCTGATCAAGCAAGTCTTGACGCACTGTCTTGATGAGAGCGACCCGGAGCGTGGCTATGTCAAGTTTTCCCCTGGTGATGAGGTCATGCTTCTCGTCAGCAACTTTGGGGGCATGTCGCATCTCGAAATGGGAGCTCTGGTGGACGAGTTACTAGAGCAGCTGCAGCGCGATTGGAACATTGAGCCGGTTCGCATTTGCGCCGGCTTTCTCGAAACGTCTCTCAATTCCCCGGCCTTTTCCGTCTCCGTCATTAACGCCACTGCCGCGTCAAAGAACTGCAGATACTCGGTTGAGGACATCAAGGGGTTCTTTGACGCCAGAACCGACACGCACTGGGAGTCAATGGCAGGCTCTCAGGTGAAGCGACGCAGCCGCAAGGCGCAGCTCGTCCATGCTCCCAAGGAAGCTTCCAAGACCGTAGACGAAAGCCGCGACTTGAAGCTAGATCCGACCGTTCTCGAAAACATGCTACGAAATGCGTGCACACAGCTTATAGAGGCCGAACCTGACCTGACCAAGTGGGACACGGTAATGGGAGATGGGGATTGTGGCGAGACTCTCAAGACTGGAGCCACCAGCTTGATGGCGGCACTCGATGGCGGCTTAGCAAAGTCGGGCTCAGTCGTCAAGGTCTTGGTGGAACTGGAGGACATTGTCGAAGGGAAGATGGGTGGCACATTGGGGGGGATCCTGGGTATATTCTTTGTGTCACTACGATCCGCAGTGGAAAACAACATCAGCATCGCCGGAACCCAAGGTCCTGTTGCTCTTTGGGCAAAGGCTGTGTCTACTGCCCTCGGTAGTCTGCGAAGATATACCCCCGCCAAGATTGGTGACCGCACCGTTATGGACACCTTGATTCCCTTTGCCGACACAATGGGCAAGTCTGGTTTCAACGACGGCGTTCAGGCAGCTGTCGACGGGGCCGAAGCTACAAAGAAGATGAGGCCTCGATTGGGAAGAGCAACTTATGTAGGTGCTGGTTCGGGGGATGGTCAGGAATTGCCTCCCGACCCGGGTGCTTGGGGTGCCATGGTTGCTATCCGGGGATTGCAGAAGGTTGCTTCAGGTTGAAAAGGGACGACAAAAACACACAAGAGAGTGTTGTTTGTTTTCATGTGTACCTTATAGTTACTGCAAGCCTTGTTATCCGTTTTCTAAACTAATGTATTTTATCCTACTTCGGCTACAGCCCTGTCATATCGAGTTGATATGCAAGTGTCTCTTATACGTCTGTACACTCTTTTTTAGTTGCGAACCCATATGCGGGGTTTGTTGCGCCCTTTTTATCACCACATTGGACAAGTGTGTTGTAGCTGTCTGCCTCACTTCAGTTCCTGCAGTAACTACCTAGGTATTTGAAAAGATCAAAGTTCCGGCGCCGACGAAGGGCCGTTCTTGTTATTCGTGGAAGTCAATGGACCCATTCTGTATCATGTCTCGGCCTCGGCCATCTGAGCAGGTTCTCGCCTCTTTTGGCGTTCAGTCCCAGCTAACATCCCTATCCGGGGGAGGTTACGTGTGTTACTCTGACGGCAAAATTGTTCTCAGGCCATCCGATGTCGATGAAGAATCCTAATGGATCGGAAACACACTCTTCTCTCTCTCAATACTAAAGCCATCATCATTGACTTATCGTGTCCCCGGACCAATAGCGAGTATTCAAAATTGCACCAAGTATGTTGTTGACGGCTGAATGACGCTTTCTGTGTTGCCAGGCCAAAATGAGCTACCAGTTCGATTCGCAGACACTTTTCGGGTTGGCCAGGCTTTTCGTGACTAGGGCGAAAAGCCCGAAAGTCGCCAATGTCAACAAGGAGGTCCTGGCTGTATTTGATGAGGCGTCAAAAAAGTACGAGAAGCTGGCTAGACCGCTACCGGCTGATCTTCCTTCCCAGCTGATCCACGGAGACCTCATGGGGAACATTCTTTTGATGATGATGAAGGAGGGCCACATGGAGTTATTGACATGACATTCTACTGGAGGCCGGCTGCGTATGCGGAAGCAATCGTGGTTGCCGATGGCTTAGCTTGGTATAAACAAGGCCGAGCGCTTATCGAGTTGTATGGACCAGGCGAAACAAGACTCTAGCTTTGGTACGAGCTTTGCACTGGCGGTATTTGAACTTTTCGATCGGCTCCATCATGGCTTGGGTTCGGGTCATCATATCAAAGGTGGATTTTACCGGCGCTGCTCGCTTGTTGAGAGAGGTCGTCGAGGATAAGTTCCACTGATGCGATTTGGACAACTGCCAAGTTTTACTTGGTGTATTGAACATCAGGGAGCTATTCTTTGTTGGACTGGCCCATCAAAGTACTCTTCAAGTAGTAGGAAGCACGTGAATAGGACATGGCAGAACATGATTGATAACATGGCCATATACATTGTAGGCGTACCTTGAGCCTGAAACCA